TTATTGAAACAACATAATTTTAAGATTATTTTTCTTTTAATATTTAAGAGATAAGACTGACATGCACTTTTTTCATTTTAAAATTAGTTAATTTAAAATTACATCGAATCTTACATATTCTATTAAATTAGTATACTTAATGTAAATTATTTTAAAAATTATCTTTATTTAATAATTTTTACTTTATAATTTTGTATTAACACCTAGCATGAAGTGCGCGCAACAAGACAAAAGCAAAGGAAGACAAGGGCTCACGCTGCCCATCCCCGAAGTTAAAGGTAACAAAGAAATTAAACTGAAAGTTTCAAGTCAACGTTCAACAAGGGTTGGCGATCGGTAGAGGTGGGAAATGGGAGTGGAACCCACTTGCACGCGCCAAAAGTTGGTCACCACCAATGCGTGACTCCCCCGCTGCTCCCTCTTTCTCTCTCTCACTCCCACTCTGTCTCTTGAAAGTTGAATCTCAAAACGAGTCTGAAATCTCAACCAACTCTTGCTTTTGGGCTCCACACCCCACTTCTTCTTCCTCATCCCCCAGAACCCACTTCTACTCTACCATTTTCTTCTTCTCTTTTTCTCCATCTCCCTCCCTCTCTCTCTCTCTCTCCCTCTATCTCTGTGCAATGGCTTGTCTAACCCCTTTCTTCTTCATCTTCTTTCTTTCCCTCTCTCTGTTCCTTTCTCCTGCCTTCTCCACCAATTCTGAAGGTATGTAATATGTATTCTCCATTACCCATCTTCTCTTTTCTCTTATATTCATTAGGGTTTCATCTTCCTTTCAATTTGAGTCTCAGTTTTGGCTACAGAGAAGCACACCAAAGTTAATGATAATGCAAATTTTTTTACTTTAGATGGGTTATGATTTTTTTTTTTTATTACAATTATTGTATCTTGGATGGCTAAAGAAAGATGGGTTGGGTTGTAAACTTCAAAATTCATTTGCCTTTTTCCTTTCAACAATCATTAAAGAAAGAACTGCAGACTGCAACTTAATCTTTACCGTTTTGTTTGTTTGTGTTTTCCAGGAAATGCTTTGCATGCATTGAGAAGCAGGCTTTCTGACCCCACCAATGTGTTGCAGAGCTGGGACCCTACTCTTGTCAATCCCTGCACCTGGTTTCATGTCACCTGTGATTCCAACAATCATGTGATTCGTTTGTAAGATTCCCTCCCCCAATTTCTCCAACTTAAAAAAAAATAAATAAATAAAGAATTCTGGGTTTTTCTCTTTACTGCTTTTGGTTCCTGTAATTTAGTACATGAAATTTGATGCTAATTTTGTTGATTACCTTTATTTTCTTTGAATATCAGGGATTTGGGTAATTCTAACGTATCTGGAACTTTGGGGCCTGAGCTTGGTCAACTCAAATATCTGCAGTATTTGTAATTGCTCTTTCTTTGTGAATCACATCTGACTTTATTTTAGCTTCTTGGGTTTTTTAGTTGTATTATTATTATGGTCATGACCACGGAAAATTTGCCATGGGCATTAGGTGTGATTTTCTTGAATACCTGCAGGGAACTCTATAGAAATGACATAGGAGGGCAAATCCCTGAGGAGTTGGGTAATTTGGAAAACCTTGTTAGCATGGATATGTATGATAACAAATTTGAAGGAAGAATTCCAAAGTCCTTTGCCAAACTGAAGTCACTCAGATTCCTGTAAGCTAACACAACTTGATTTTCATTGGCAAATTATTTCAATTAATTGCACAATATGATTTGGATTTACTTGAATTGGTTGTGCAGTCGATTAAACAACAACAAGCTAACAGGGTCTATTCCAAGGGAACTCACCACTCTCACCGGCCTCAAAGTGTTGTAAGTTCACCTAGAGAAAAATTAATGTAAGCTTTCTTGTTATGGCTTCATGCTTAGTTTGGTTCTGAAATCACTGTTTTAATGATGTAGTGATGTTTCAAGCAATGACCTCTGTGGAACAATTCCTGTCGATGGCCCTTTTTCAAGCTTTCCAATGGAAAGGTATCATTTTTTTCATTCCCTTCCTTATTGTTCACAATTAATAATAGAATCTTAGCTATAAACCCTTTTTGACTTAAGGATGCTACTTAGTTCATGAATTTGGAAACCATAACCCCCCAAGACTTACAGAGAAAGGAGGGGGAGGAGATGAATGTCACCTGGAAATGAATGTTATAGGCTTATTGCTGTTTCTTTCTGCTTGTGTATACAACAGCCTTTGCCCTATGAAAAAAAACATCACTAATGTTGAGTGGGTAATAACTAGAATGAAATCATTGTTATTTATAAGAACCAATTCTCTAGAATCAACATGTCTGTCCCATATTTGCTTTGTTAAATTTTAACTTGATTATTGGCTTTCTGGTATTGTTTCAGTTTTGACAATAACCGGCTTAATGGACCTGAGCTGAAAGGACTTGTGCCTTATGACTTTGGCTGCTGAAGAAACCAGAAATACCAGAAATAGCCCAACTTCTTTCGTAGTTTTATTGGCTAACGCCATTTATAAGATGAAGTTGTTGGACGGTAATGTATACCTTACTTAAATGTACTAGTTTATGATGGTAATCTGTAATGACATAAGATGCAGAATAAATTGGTTGAGCTTTAGAATATATGCTGATTTACCTTCCTGTAGAACTAATTTCCAGTTTTTTCACATCCATGACTTTCGATACCAATGAAAAGCTAGCATATCTCTGTAAGAATCATTCAATGATATGATACAAGAAAATGATGATAAAGGGCTGAATCAGTGTGGATAGTCTGCTTTTGGCGTGTGGTTCAGTTATATCAACAAGCTTTGCCTACAACACAGCTTAGATAAGTGGAATGTGATGTCAAAGCAGGAACCTGGGATAGTGGAGCAACAGTTATATCAACAAGCTGTGTCGAGCACAGTTTCCATATTCTGATGGAACAAAAAAAGCACCGTTTAGGAAAACATCCCTAGAAGTCCTTCCCCTTCAGTTTGTCCAATTCCCAGTTATTGCCTCTCTCTTGGTAGCCTGTTTGGCATCAAGATCGTTAGAAGCTAAGAAATTGTTTCCTTCACTGAGAATTGTAGGGTCTGCAGTGCCCCGTATGGCAGTGAAAAGATCGTTGTGTCCAAGCAACATCACCTGTAGTGCAATCAATCTGACCATCAAAAGAACATTCAAATACCAATGATTTGTTGGTCTAAATAGAAGCAGTTCGATTTTTCTTAAACAAAGTTTCAAGTTCGAGTCTTGTAAATAAAAAAACAGGCGTTTGGAGAACTTCACCCAATGGGGTTTAATGCGATTCAATTTTGCATTGCTCAGCATTCAATCTGATTATCGGATATTGGGAAGTTAGAGATTGTGATTGCAGTCGATTCATGGACCACATAGATCAGGTCATCCGTACAGCTAGCAATCGATTCATGGACCACATAGATCAGGTCATCCGTACAGCTAGCAATCGATTCATGGACCACATAGATCAGGTCATCCGTACAGCTAGCAATGTAGCAATGTAGCAATGTAGCAATGTAGCAATGTAGCAATGTAGCAATCCAGATGTTAGGAGAGGCAAAGACGCTGATGGCATCTCCATCAGAGCCTTGCCGGTGTCCATTTTTATAATGTGGGGCAATGCTATGAACAAAAAAAAAACAATAATGATAGAAATATTTTGTGTAGTCCAATACAAAACAAAATAGACTCAGAAAAAAAGGAAAAAGAAAAGAAAACTCAAAAAATGTTATGAAATAAAATGTAGTTATTACATATTTTTATTTCTAATGACATCACTGTTACATTTCTACTTCCCAACAAATGGATAATGAATGATAAATAATCTTCTTTTATTAAAAATGCTTTCAACATTCATATTTCCAATGGACAACCAATTTATTTCTTTACGTTGTTGTTACATCTTTTCCTTTCCAACAGTTCATCAATTAATTCTTTTTCATTGAAATTGTTTTACACCTCCATATACCAACGAAAATATTTTGTACAATGAATGTTGAGTTTTGGAACTTACAAGTTCTTTCATGTATACAGAAGATGATACTAAATGAAATTAAGAATAGACAATTTCAAGCTTACTTTTATTTTTCCTTTACATATTATTCAATTAGACTATATTTCTAAAACTAACAACATGAGTAATTTAGTAATAGTTTTTTTTAATAAAAATAAAAAATTTTAAATTTGAATTGTATAACATACAAGTGGAATGAGTTGAGGATAAGAGGATATTGCTTCATATCATACAATATGAGATTAATATAAATAAGATTTTTCTAACATGTACTCTTAATGTAGAAGTTAAGAATGCCTTTTTGCTATAAATATAAATAAAAAATATATAAAAATTGACATTAATTTCAAAGTTATTGTTACTTGAATAAATTTAATCAGACGAATGATAAATTAAATATCATTATTTATTTTTTTAAGATTGTGACACAAGTAAAAAAAAACCCACATAAATAAATAAATAAATATAAATAAATATATATATATTTATATATGTATATAAAAGAAAAATTGGCACTTAATGAAACGATGTTTCTTTCCCAGTGGGAAAATACGTAATTTATTTTATGTTGGTTTC